CACGGCAAGTAACGCAACTGAACGATATCGTTTTGGCTCCTTTGCACCGCTCAGAAACGAAAGTCGGGCCAAATGGTTTGTAGACGGACAAGACTACATGGCAGCTGTTGCTGATTCGATTGAAGCCGCGGAAAAGGAGATCTTCATCACAGACTGGCAACTCAATCCTCATATCTTCATGAAAAGGCCTGACTCGGGAATCGACAGTTTGCATTGGCGTCTGGACAAGATGTTGCTGAGAAAAGCTGAGCAAGGTGTTCGCACGTATGTTTTACTCTACTTGGAATGGAAGAGAGTCATGGACCTTGGTAGTGCATATGCACAAAAAGTTCTGAGTCATAAAAACATCAAGGTTCTTCGTCATTCAAGTACGAGTTATCCTTCTACCATGGGCCGGTGGACTCATCATGAGAAAGTGGTGGTTGTTGATCGGAGTATAGCGTTCGTTGGAGGAATTGATCTTTGCTTTGGCCGATGGGATACTCACAGCCACGTGTTAACAGATCCCTTTCCACCTCATCCCTGTGTGTTGGAGAGTGATGAGTGTGCCGAAATTCCTAGGGAATCCACAGCGCAATATTCACGGTGGATAGGTAAGGTTTTTAATTCTTCTTAACCTTTTTTTATAGTTTGTAATCATAATTTTATATTTTTTACAAATATGCTTATACATTTTATCGCGTATTGTTCCATATACATATTTTAGCGTTTTTTTACCCCATATTTATACATGTAATTTTATTCTTCTATGCATGTAATTTTTATGACAAAATCGATTTCAAAGAACTTATTGATTTGGATAGGTAAGGACTATGGCAACACCTTCCTTGGTGGAGAAAGAAAAAACCTGAATGAGCCCATGACGGATTATGTTGACAGAAGTAAAGTTCCTCGCATGCCATGGCATGATGTGGCTTGCTCAGTTTCTGGACCTCCTGCTCTTGATGTTGCCACTCACTTTATTCAGAGATACAAGCATATCAAGCCGCGGTCCAGCTTTCAAGATGTCCTACCGAAACCTGAACTTCATCAGATTTCAGATCCAAGTGGTAGCAATCTCACGATACAAGTTCTCCGTTCAGTGGGCGAATGGTCAGCTGGTCAGCCACATGAAGCCTCCATCTACAATGCCTACCTCCACGCGATTCAGAATGCAGAACATTTTATTTACATCGAAAACCAATTTTTCATCTCATCTCAGCTAAAGGAGAAAGTGGACAATACGATAATGTCAACGTTGGCTGACAGGATTTATCGTGCACATCAACGTGGAGAGGATTTCCACGCAATGGTCATCATACCATTAAAGCCAGAGTTTCCAGAGAAATGGGACACTAGTGGCGGTGATTTACTGAGAATCGTGAGCCAGTTGACTTATTCCACCATCTGCCGTGGGGAAGACTGTTTGATGAAAAGGTTGAAAAGAAAGGGAATTCCACCAGAAGCAATACCTCGCTACTTCAGTGTGTATGGTTTGCGGACACATGGGTCTCTGAACGGTAACCTTGTGACGGAGGTTGTCTATGTGCACAGTAAGTTGATGATTGTTGATGACCGAGTGGCTATCATAGGGTCAGCAAACATCAATGACCGCAGCATGCTTGGAGACAGGGATTCAGAAGTAGCAGTAATTATACACGACAATGATATGATGGAAGGAAAGATGAATGGAAAGTCCTACCGGGTTGGAAAGTTCTCTCACAGTTTACGTTGTCACTTACTGAAAGAACACCTTGGTCTTTTATCAGAAATGAATGNGTGGCAATCTTACGATTCAAGTTCTCCGTTCAGTGGACAAATGGTCAGCTGGTCAGCCACATGAAGCCTCCATCTACAATGCTTATCTACACGCGATTCAGAATGCAGAACATTTTATTTACATCGAAAATCAATTTTTCATCTCATCTCAAAAAGGGACTTTTAGAGGTGTGCAAAATGAGATACTGTCCACACTGGCTGATAGAATTTATCGTGCTTATAAAAAACGAGAGGACTTCCATGCAATGGTAATCATACCTCTTAAACCGGAGTTTACAGAGGAGTGGGATCCTAACACTGGCAGTGATTTAGGAGCCGTAAGTTACTGGACCTATGCTACTCTCTATCACGGGGAAGACAGTTTGATGAACAGGTTATTGGTAGAAAAGCAAATTCCAGGTCATGCAGTAGCTCGCTACTTCAGTGTGCATGGTTTACGGACACATGGGTCTCTAAATGGGAACCTTGTGACGGAGGTTGTCTATGTGCACAGTAAGTTGATGATTGTTGACGACCGAGTGGCTATCATAGGGTCAGCAAACATCAATGACCGCAGCATGCTTGGAGACAGGGATTCAGAAGTAGCAGTAATCATCCAAGACAATGATATGATGGAAGGAAAGATGAATGGACAACCCTACCAGGTTGGAAAATTCTCTCACAGTTTACGTTGTCACTTACTAAAAGAACACCTTGGTCTTTTATCAGAAATGAATGTAACCCCGCGAAATATCAAGGTAGAAGATCCACTGACAAGTGCTTTCCGCTTTGCCGTTGTAGAATTAGCTGCCCAAAACACTCACATTTTTGAGAAAGTATTCCATGGAAGAATTCTCCCAACAAATAAAGTGTTGAACTTCGAAGACCTTGAAAACTGGAAATCAATTCCTGGTCTCGCTGACATTAAGGTGGAGGAAGCCAGGAAGGAGTTGGATAACATTCAAGGAAGAGCTGTCACTTTCCCAATTTTCTTTTTGAAAGATGTTCTAAAACCAACCTTTCTGGATTACCTGAGTATTTACAGTACCGGCTGAAATCATGTGACCATACCGCGCGGTTTAATGACCTGCGGTGTATAAACACACTTCTAACTTGTGCTTTCAATTTACTACTTTTCTTTTGTGCGCGACCGACAACATCGATGGGTCTACCGTTGACTAAATGTTCCCTTTACAATTAAGTTCGTCCCAAAAAGATTTAAGTTTTCGATTTACACAGTAATAGTCGTTTGATATTTAAGATTCTGTAAACGTGAAAAAATGATTGCGATTGGAGAAATTTGGAGCTTTATCCGGTTGATCTTCTCAGAATAAATTGGTTCTAATAACGGAGGCTTTCGACAAACAATTAAGAATAAAAATCAGCGATAATAATTTCGAATGACGTTTCGATGACTCGTTCATCATTTTCAAATTCTACACTCAATCGGACTCAATTAAAGCAGAACTATTTAGTACTTTAAAATTACCACTCTCTACATTCCACATGGTAGAGGTTTTATTCACATGCGACGAGACTTCACTCGCATTCTCAATATATAAAGAACTTATAGGAATCTCACTTTAAGAATTTGAAGGTGATGGACGAGTCATCAAAACTTCATTCGAAACTATTATCGCTGATTTTTATTCTTAATGAATTGGTTGCGTCAGTATTCCGATCATAACTTGTAATCTTAGTGAGGGTTTTGTCTCCGTGAAACCACGTAGTGTCTTCTGACAACAGCGACAACTGAAAACACTCTAAGCAGCGTGACCTGATCGTTCATTGGGTTACTACTTCTGTCGAACGGATAAATCTCGTGCAATACACGTATCTTCGCCTCGTGAAACCCGCGGCCGATGTGCGCATGATTTCATAATCAAATACTTTCATACTTTTGATGCTAGAGGCCGCGCCAAAGAACTCATGCAAACTGTGTGATGCCATTCGTGGCGTAATGGTATTGCGTTACATAAGGGCAGATCATCAACATGTTGCTCGTTCTTGGTTTCAAATTATGACTGAAACTACAGGAGTACCCAACGACACTTTAACTGGAAATTTAATATGTGACTTCCCAAGCACTGATTCTGTGCTCCCACGTCAATTACCATTAATAATTAACTTTCCTGGRAAAAAAATATCCGCTCTTCACTGCTAGCAAGATCGACTTTATTTCATAAAACTCCCAGCCAGACATAATGAAAATTTTGAATACCGAGCTAGAAAAATGGCAAGTAGCCAAGTAGCCAGCCAGCAGTAAAGGGTAACATTGTAAATGCCCGCAAGGCAATTATAGGCGAAAAAATGTTCTGGCCAGCGTTTTGACCTAGATTAAAAACAAACGCATTGTTTAGGACCTTTATTCAACAGCCTATTGTCTNCTCATGTGCCAACGGCTCGGGAAGGTTTATTCTTTCCTCCCTCGGTATTGGGCCGTAGAACATTTGCAGAACATCGGACGAGTATCTTGCGACAGCCATGTCGGCGCAGTATGCACTGATTGTGCGCTTCTCCAATAGGAAAAATTTTCTGGCACAGTTTTGTATATACATGTGAAGGGCACATCCGCGCATATTGTTTACGGACGATGGACCAGCTTTTTCGCTTTGCTGTTGCGTTACACACACACGGTTCTGGCACAGCGCTCATCCCTCCGTTCTGGCACAGCACACACGCGCAGTTCTGGCACAGCACACACACTAAATTCTGGCACAGCACACACACACATATAAAGTGGGGGTTCTGGACGCACAGTGGGGAGCAAGAGGGCAAAAAACCGTCCGAAAAAGCCCCCCAGCTCCTTCTCCGAAGCTTTAGTCTGAAGAGAAGGAGCTGGGGGGCTTTTTCGGACGGTTTTTTGCCCTCTTGCTCCCCACTGTGCCAGAACCCCCACTTTATATGTGTGTCGGCCAAATCTTTCGAGATGGAAGTCAGGACATTTGTAAGGATACAGAAAGTAATTTGGGACCTGTTCCTGGCTTGCTAGGCTGAAATTATCTAGAAGTAAGCTTTTTTTAACTTAAACGTAACGTAGGCGGTGAACAAATTGAATAAATTATCGGCTCTTCTCACTGTCTTGTTCTGTTTTTTCTTTCGTTCTCTTTTGGAGCCCGCCGAGGTTATTTTTTCGCCTAAATAACCTGAGAAAAGTTCGAAAAACATGTTCCTCTTGAATTTTCAGTTCTCAGGCAATAGTCCTGGATTTTTTGGACCTAAACCTCGGTTCGTGTTATGTTCGTGTTTTTCGGTGGCTTTTCAGGAGTACCCAATGACACTTACACTGGAAATTTAAGCTGTGACTTCCCAAGCACTGATTCTGTGCTCCCACGTCAATTACCATTAATAATTAACTTTCCTGGGAAAAAAATATCCGCTCTTCACTGCTAGCAAGATCGACTTTATTTCATAAAACTCCCAGCCAGACATAATAAAAATTTTGAATACCGAGCTAAAAAATGACAATCAGCCAAGTAGCCAGCCAGCAGTAAAGAGTAACATTTGAAATGCCAGCAAGGCAATTATAGGCGAAAAAAATGTTCTCGCCAGCGTTTCGACCTAGATTAAAAACAAACGCATTGTTTAGGACCTTTATTCAACAGCCTATTGTCTGTTGACTATTATAAGAGATAAATTAGCAATATGTGGTTACTTTGGCGGCTATGAGCAAAATCTACACTTTGATTATCTTATCCCTTAAAAACAATACAACTTACCATCTATGTCTTAAGCGGATCGGACAAGGTGTCTTCCAGCACGTTGTTTTCCGATACTTCAGATGCCTTCCAGGTTCAGCATACGTGTGACAGTTTGGCACTTTACGTTCTGACATCTAAAATGATTCACACTAATGTTTAAAATAAGACCCCTCTAATCCTTCTAGACATTAAGATCAAACTTGCTTTCACCAAAGAAATGTTTTTTGCAAAATTACTTTTATATAATGGTGTAAGGGAAATGAACAAAAAAATAATGTTGAAGTCCTTTACAAATACCTATCGGCCTTACTTCTACATTGCTAGCCCAATAATGATTGTACTTTCAACAACAGCAGCACACTTTATATGTTTACCCCGATTTAGTAGTTTACAATTATTTCTAATGATTTTTTTGAAAAATAAAGGGTTATGCCAGCTCCCTAAAACATTTAAAGGGAGCTGGTTTAGTATTGATTAGTAACACCATGTTTACCTCAAAAGTATTGAAAAACGTCTTCTTCTTTTTCTTTGGACAACTGTTTTCTCTGAGCTTCCCACTCTGGAATTGCGAGATAAAAGTGTATAAACCACATTACAATTTTTATCATAAAATGAATAAAAAAAAATCTTGATAATACATACCTTGAATGTTGGTGATCCATCTCACTCCATGTCACTGATCCATGCCTTACCCAAGACTGCAAAGCACTGTCAACACAACTTTCACAAAATTAATTTAACTTGAAAGCTAAACAACCAAAGACACTCATATTCCTACAGGTAGTTTACCGTAAAAATTTCATAAATACCGATTGAAGGGATGTTAAAGGCCGTTCACCGTAAAAGTTTCACACAGTTAAGTACAAAGTTTCGCAGCAAAGACCCCCGCATTGTTGGGATGTTACAGGCCGTTCACCGTAAAAGTTTCACACAGTTAAGTGCAAAGTTCCGCAGCAAAGACCCCGGAATTGTTGGGATGTTACAGGCCGTTTACCGTAAAGGTTTCACACACGTAAGTGCAAAGTTTCGCAGCAAAGACCCCGGCATTGTAGGGATGTTACAGGCCGTTCACCGTTAAAGTTTCACACAGTTAGGTACAAAGTTTCGCAGCAAAGACCTCGGCATTGTTGGGATGTAAAAAGCCGCTCACAGTTAAAGTTTCACACACTTAAGTGCAAAGTTTCCCAGCAATGAAATGTTACAAGCCGTTCACCGTTAAAGTGTCACACATTTCAGTGCAAAGTTTCGCAGCAAAGACCCCGGCATTAATGGGATGTTACAGACCGTTCACCGTAAAAGCTTCACACAGTTAAGTGCAAAGTTTCGCAGCAAAGACCCCGGAATTGTTGGGATGTTACAGGCGGTTCACCGTAAAAGTATTGCTATTAACAGCATCATTACGTCAAGAGGTTCGTTAACAAAATGTATCAATCAGATCAATGTAATGTCATAAATACACACTGGACGATCAGCATAAAAGATTCACAAACTTAATCGCGTGGTTTCATCAACATATTCGCTCATCTCTTCTTGGGTACCAGTCCATGACATCAGGTAATGTTTGCAGCATCTTTAGATATGCTTCTTATAGTTCACGCAATTAATTTTACACCTGAAAAATGATATGTTTTAGAAAATGTAACATACTGCATAATCCCTCTTATACCGGCGTCCTCCCCGCGTCCAAACACACACACATGCATCCAAATACACATACAGCCACGGACACATAATAATATACAAAACTGGTGATACTATCGGGCCCCTCAATGTAAGATCTAGATCAAGAACTATGTTCACAAAAGTAGCTCATTCAGGAGAGTATTCAATGAAATGTCTTAGATTTTAACTGATGTTACACTGCTGAAAATTACATTTCCTAGGGTAAGTCAAAGAAGCAAGGATTTAACTGTTTAAGAAAGCAATAATTGTGGAATAATTTTTTACTGCTCATTTCGTCATCAAACTATAACCCAGAAGCGTGAATACAGTGAATGGTGTGAACGGGTGCCATGCCCCTCCCCTATTTTTTCGTGTGCCGTGTTTCGCGCTTTTACATTAAGCTACGTGAACTGAACAGTGCGATAATTGTTCCACCACAAAATCACTGTCTGTGCCATCATAAAAAGAGGGACAATAAGGCGAAATGTCTCCATTTCCGGTAGCAACGCAGGCATCAAAATAACTTGTTCTCTGACAGAAACTGTGCGCAAAATACGCGCTTTAACAAATGAGAACGCATAAGAAATTAAATTACACATTATTGTCCTAGCGCTACCGGCACCGAAAGAACGAAATCTGGAATGATATGATTGCCTACTTTTAAATGCCAAAGTACAGTACAATTGGCATGGAACTAGATCAATCAGGTGTATTGGTCAACAGCTCTTTNATGTAATGTCATAAATATACACTGGACGATCAGCATAAAAGATTCACAAACTTAATCTCATGATTTCATCGACAAATTTGCTCATCTTTTCTTGGGTACCAGTCCATGACATCGGGTAATGTTTGCAGCATCTTTAGCTGTGCTTCTTATAGTTCATGCAATGAGAGAATTCAATGAAATGTGTTAGATTTTAACTGATGTTACATTGCTGAAAATTACATTCCCTGGGGCAAGTCAAAGAAGCAAGGATTTAACTGTTTAAAGAAAAATAATTGTGGAATAATTTTTTACCGCTCATTTCGTCATCAAACTATAACCCAGAAGCGTGAATTCAGTGAATGGTGTGAACTGGTGCCATGCCCCTCCCCTATTTTTTTGTGTGCCATGTTTCGCGCTTTGCCTTAGCTACATGAACTGAACTGCGCAATAACTGTTCCACCACAAAATTACTGTCTGTGCCATCATAAAAAGAAGGACAATAAGGTGAAATGTCTGCATTTCCGGTAACAATGCAGGCATGCAAAATAACTTGTTCTCTAACAGAAACTAAATGTGTGAAAAACATGCGTGTTAACAAATGGGAACGCATAGGAAATTAAATTACACATTATTGTCCTGGTGCTATCGACACCGAAAGAACGAAATCTGGAATGACATGATTGCCTTCTGGTCTTTTCTGACCTTTGACTTGGCAAGCCTTTGTATTCCCTTTTAAATCCCAAAGTACAGTACAGTTAGCATTGAACTAGATCAATCAGATGTGTTGGTCAACAGCTCTTTCAGGGCAAATTTTCGGCGATACCAAAAGGCAACAATAGGTAATCAGCCTTCAGTTATACAAAGAACACGATCGGACTTCAGTAAAGAAACCGATGGAAACAATACTTTCTTACACCGGGAAAAAATAATCATTTCAATATCTCGTCAATTTGTCCAAGACGCAGCAAATGTGTTTCAATAGCTCATGTTTTAACATTTGACGCATTAAAAAGTGGGCATCATCGACTGCAGCACCGGGATCGGATTTTACTGGTCGTTAAAATTACAGAATTGAAATTACACTTGGAAGTAGGATCACTGTGGATGAATGCACTGNGGAGCCCCTGAATGTAAGATCTAGATCAAGAACTATGTTCACAAAAGTAACTCATTCATGAGAGTATTCAATGAAATGTCTTAGATTTTAAGTGATATTACATTGCTGAAAATTACATTCCTTGGGGCAAGTCAAATGAAGCAAAGATTTAACTGTTTAAGAAAACAATAATCGTGGAATGATCAGTTTTTTATCGCTCGTTTCGCCATCAAACTATAACCCAGAAGCGTGAATTCAGTGAATGGTGTGAACTGGTGCCACGCCCCTCCCCTATTTTTTCGTGTGCCATGTTTCGCGCTTTGCCTTAGGCTACATGAACTGAACCGCGCGATAATTGTTCTACGATATAATCACCGTCTGTGCCATCATAAAAAGAAGGACAACAAGGCGAAATGTCTCCATTTCCGGTAACAACGCAGGCATCCAAAATAACTTGGTCTCTGACAGCAACTGAATGTGCGAAAAACACGCGCGTTAAGAGATGGAAACGCATAAGAAATTAAATTACACATTATTGTCCTGGCGCTATCGACACCGAAAGAACGAAATCTGGAATGACATGATTGCCTTCTGGTCTTTTCTGACCTTTGACATTCAATCACAAAGTACAGTACAATTAGCATGGAACTAGATCAATCAGGTGTGTTGGTCAACCTTTCAGGGCAAATTTTCGGCGATACCAAAAGGCAGCAATAAGTAATCAGCCTTCAGTTATATAAAGAACACGATCGGACTTCAGTAAAGAAACCGATGGAAACAATACTTTCTTGCATCGGGAAAAAATAATCATTTCAATATCTCGTTTTTTCCAAGACGCGGCAAATGTGTTTCAATAGCTCATGTTCGACGCGTTAAAAAGCGGTCATCATCGACTGCAGTACCGGGCTCGGATTTCACTGGTCGTTAAAATTACGGAATTGAAATTACACTTGGAAGTAAGATCACTGGATAAATGGACTGACAACTTAGAAAACCCTTCCAAGTTCGGAGACATATTAGGCTTTTCCTGGTCTTGCTTTTCGCTGAAGCTTCACTTTCCGTTGGGTTTGAAATACAAAACAGTGGCGAATACAGTTTGAAAAACTGCGCCGGCTTTTCCCGAACACATTGCTTAACATTACCAATATTAAATATATAGGCTGATTCAGCTAGTTCAACTCCAAAGTAGTTCTTACCTGAACCTTTGAATTTATCAGTGGAGTCCTGAGAGCTCTCTGGCGGCCAAACCCTCCAACAACTGGTCGGCAAATCCTGACCGCGCTTTAACCGACCGTTGGACACAAAATTATACCGGAACAATGTTTTAGTTACAAAATATTACGAGGTTACCGGAGTCTTACCGGGCCTCAGGCAAGAAAGAGCAAAATGTGAAAAGACTGCACGAACCAAAAAACGTCATTGCCAGATAACCAGTTGTACCTCCCCTAAAGAGGAAGCAAACCGCCAGAAAGAAAAACTCGCCTAAATGGCTCTAAACCACCTCCAGGAACCCAGAGACATCAAAATAACGCAATGCAACCACAAGGTAAGCCATTTTATTCAAATTATTTTCTACACGTAGCATTTAGAGTAATTTTCGAAGCATTCTCATACATTGTCTTATAAACAACTAAAATTGTAACACAATCGCCAACAGCATAATGTCACGTATAAATCGTATTCAACGTCTGGGCCGCCTGTGGTTGTATCTAGGTGACCTGAAAGCAGAACGGACGGTGATTTTCCGCGACCGGATCAACGGTGGTTTAACATACAACTGAACGTGGGAAAAGAGAGCGTCAAGGGAAAAGAAACTGATCTAATTTCACTCTATAAATGACAGAAGTACAGACCTCTATTGTTTGCTGGTAAATAAAACTTTAATAAACAACTAACATTAAATCATTCTAAGCATGTTTTCAAGCAAAAGGTCAAACAGTCAGAGAGTGTCAAGTGACACACTTCAGCCATTTCACAGTGATCGCATCCGCAATGTAATTTCCAGCCAGAACTGATTTGTAAAACCACAATGTGAGCTATTTGTACACCAAAAAAAATTTTCCAGCTAGCTAGCTCTCGGTAAGCTAAATTCTCAGCAAGATTCTGTTTATTGCTAAGATTCCCAGCAATCTCAACTTAGTCTGCAGAGCGGATATTTTGCGGAGCGGATCCGACGGATTACTTTATAGTACGCTAGTAACTAATAATGTTTGGTACGTTGATTGGATCCTTCATAGTACGCTAATACGCTAATAATGTTTGGTACGTTGGTCGGATGCTTTATAGTACGCTAGTAACTAATAATGTTTGGTACGTTGATTGGATCCTTTATAGTACGCTAATACGCTAATAATGTTTGGTACGTTGGTCAGATGCTTTATAGTACGCTAGTAACTAATAATGTTTGGTACGTTGATTGAATCCTTTATTGTACGCTAGTACGCTTATAATGTTTGGTACGTTGATCGGATCCTTCATAGTACGCCAATACGCTAATAATGTTTGGTTCGTTGATTGGATCCTTCATAGTACGCTAATACGCTAATAATGTTTGGTACGTTGATTGGATCCTTTAGAGTACGCTAATACGCTAATAATGTTTGGTACGTTGGTCAGATGCTTTATAGTACGCTAGTAACTAATAATGTTTGGTACGTTGATTGAATCCTTTATTGTACGCTAGTACGCTTATAATGTTTGGTACGTTGATCGGATCCTTCATAGTACGCCAATACGCTAATAATGTTTGGTTCGTTGATTGGATCCTTCATAGTACGCTAATACGCTAATAATGTTTGGTACGTTGATTGGATCCTTTAGAGTACGCTAGTACGCTTATGTTTGGTGCTTTGATCAGATGCTTTATAGTACGCTGCTGACATTGGCATTCAATGCTGGCTGCAACTCCTGAATAAACATGGTCTCCTTAATCCTTCAATGGTAGTCAGTCTACCATTGTAAATTTCTACTGCAAATGTTTTCTGTCTAGGTTCCAGACCTCTATTGATACAGTATAAATAGCTTTCCAAAAATTGTAACGGTTACACTTTTGAAAATGTATGTTGACTAGTATACGAAACGTCAAGTTCATAAAATACACGTTTTTGAAATGTTTATCACCGCTGTTTGTTTTATATTTTTAATCAAGCTACGATGGCCGAAGACCAAGAGTTTATATGATTCTTGTTATTAAATTCTTGGAAAGACAGTAGCTGACCATTACTGTTCAGCAGGTCTCGGATGGACTAGACTACGAGTAGTCCCTCTTTCGCTTAGTACGTCGTGCGTGACGCGAAAGACATGTTAATATATAGATTTAGGCCAGCCTAAGAGCGTAGCTCCTGGGCCGGGTTGTTCAGAGCCAAATTAAGCTAACCCAGGAAAAGGTAGAATTTGATTTGAGTCTTGTAACTTTGCGTTGAGGTTTTCTGTATATTGTTTGGCCTTCTGTTTTAAGTTTTAATAATCACTATATACTCAAAACAAAGCAGCAAAAACATTTGTATAGAAGAAAAAGTTATAATTCGGTTAACTTTTAATCTTGGGTTGGCGTTAACCGGCTTCCGAACAATCCTGCCCTGTTTTCAACAAGTTAACCTGGGATGAACTCGCGATCCAATCAAAAAA